TGCCCCACGCGGCTTCGGGCCCAGGTGTTTAAATGTGGGCAGCCAGACCCCCTCCTGAAAGCAGCTCCCACGGCCTGCTCTGCAACATCGTTACTCATTTTGCACTTTACCAACTAAGCCACTAAAGTAACAACATCTTGCTGATTATTCCAGCAAAATTACTGAGCAAAATGATCCAAGAAAACGTCTGCAAAATTCAGACGTTCTAACTTTCAGAAGTGAAAAGTGGGAGAGATTTTTTTCCTCTTGGTAACTTTCAAGGTAAAATGAAAATTAATCTTCTAGTTAGTTCCATCTCCTCCCTCTGCTAATGGACATCATAGAAAATCTGGATGTTTCCAAAATACTTCTTTAAAAAGCAGCAGGCCCCTTTCATGTGGCTGCTTCTTGCCTAATCAAGGCCAGGGCGAGGACCACCAGGAATGGACAGTCAGGGTGAGGCTGACAGCAAGAAAATACCTGAAAGACCAGATGAATCAAAAGTACAAACTGGCCAGGTGCGGTGGCTCACGCCTGTAATCTCAGCACTTTGGGAGGCCAAGATGGGTGGATCACCTGAGGTCAGGAGTTCAAGACCAGCCTGGCCAACATGGTGAAACCCTGTCTCCACTAAAAATACAAAAATTAGCCAGGCATGGTGGCGGGCGCCTGTAATCCCAGCTACTCGGGAGGCTGAGGCAGGAGAATCACTTGAACCTGGGAGGCGGTGGTTGCAGTGAGCGAAGATTGCACCATTGTACTCCAGCCTGGGTGACAGAGCAAGACTCTGTCTCAAAAACGAAAGTACAAACTGGCAGAAAGTCAAAGCATTGTACTTGAAACTGACAGAAAGCAGACTCCGTGAAGGAAACACAAAATCACTGAGAATTCTGAGAACCACAAAAGGAGCGTTGATTCCGAAAGGGCGCGAGAAACTTTAGACTGTCAAAGGCTTGGTCCCTTTTGTCTCAGAAACTGGTTGCTTTAATTTGCAGGCACTCTGTTCAGGGTGTTCACATTGACGGCGATGGGTAGGAAGGTATCAGCAACCCACCCCTCGGTGTTACACCCCCAAGATAGGGATTTTGCCATTTTACCTGGAAGTACATAAAATTCATCAGTTTTGTGACCTCAGGCTCCAGAACCTCCACGGTTTTCTCGTAAATTTCCACTCTGTTAGGCTGCTCGTTACATTTCACCTGGAAAAAAGAAACAAGGATGACATAAGAGGCTTGGATCCAGCCACAAGCAGCCGCTGGGCAGCTAGAGCTGGTGATCCCGCCCTGCTGTGGGGTGAGACCAGGGAGGAGAGTGGCCAGGCATTGCAGGGGCGGGGTGGGGTGGGGCCTGGCAGGGTGTGGGGAGGGAAGAGACAGGCGAGCGGGCACCTGCGGGATGGCCCGGGAGCAGCTCCTCCAGGTGTACAGCATGACAGCATATTCCTGGCCCTCCTCCAGCATCTCGTTCTGCAACGGAACATAGGGCAAATCAAAGGCAGGAGGGGGAACTAGCATGAAAAGCAGATGCCAATTGCTAAAATCTAGATAAAGCACCATGAACTATCCTAAGCACTGTGGCCTGTGTGCCAAGAGACAGCTGCCGAGAAGCTGGTAACGCTGAGGTGCGGCGCTGGGGGCCACAATGACCACCCAAAACACCGCAGGGCTTCTGCAGGCGAGAGGGTAACAGTGACATGCAGGCATCTCTGGGGTGTGCCACAGGCATTACACCTTGGCTCCGCCCAGCCCGAAACAATCGCTGGCCACGAGACCTGCAGTCAGGAGCACAGAGGAAGGGCTCCGGGCAGACGCCCTGCCCAGTGTGAGCACACGCAGGATCCCCATGGCCTCCCTCCTCACCGGCTCACAGGGCCTCCCAGTCCCAGAGAGGACTAGAGGCAGGGCTGCCCCAGGTGTGCAGGAGGAATAGTTAGGATTTAAGTGCCCACAGCACTTAAAATCTAGGTGGAGAGTCCATGGGAAGAGGACTGTCATCACTGCTATAAAACTGCTTTTGCTTTCTACTCTTTAACATCATTTCCTTTGGTAAAAATCAAATAGATGCTCTTAAATCTAGCCTATATTTAGAGAGATGTTCATCACAGCTTTTTTTTTTTGAGACGAGTCTCACTCTGTCACCCAGACTGGAGTGCAGTGACGCGATCTCAGCTCACTGCAACCTCCACCTCCTGGGTTCAAGCAATTCTTTTGCCTCAGCCTCCCGAGTAGCTGGGATTACAGGCGTGCACCACCATGCCCAGTTAGTTTTTGTATTTTTTTTTCCAGTAGAGACAGGGGTTCACCATGTTGGCCAGGCTGGTCTCGAACTCCTGACCTTAGGTGATCTGCCCACTTTGGCCTCCCAAAATGCTGGGATTACATGTGTGAGCCACTGCACCTGGCCTACAGCATTTTTTTTATTATTATATGACATAAAAGAAGAAATGAAGTAAATGTGCAAAAATAGTTGAACTGTGGACATTTACGAAATGGTTTACATAGCCATTAAGGATTGCTTTCTCCAGCACGTTTTCATGGCATGAAAATATTCTTGTCCAGGTGCAGCGTCTCAGGCCTGTAATCCCAGTACTTTGGGAGGCTGGGTGGGCAGATTCCTTGAGTCCAGGAATTCGAGACCAGCCTAGGCAACACAGTGAGACTTGCTTTTACAAAAAATACAAAAAGGTAGCTGGGCGTGGTGGTGTGTGACTGTAGTCCCAGCTACTCAGGAGGCTGAGGTGGAAATATTGCTTGAGCCCGGGAGGTTGAGGCTGCAGTGAGCCCTAATCATGTCACTGCACTCTAGCCTGGGCAACCTGAGTCAGACCCTGTCTCAAAAAAAAAAAAAAAAGAAAAGAAAAAATGTTCATGAGATCATTAAAATACAGAACTACGTGGGTGTGGTGGCTCATGCCTATGATCCCAGCACTTTGGGAGGCTGAGGTGGGCAGATCACCTGAGGTCAGGAGTTCGAGACCAGCCCGGCCAACATGGTGAAACCCCGTCTCTACTAAAAATACAAAAATTAGCTGGGTGTAGTGGTGGGCGCCAGTAGTTCCAGCTACTCGGGAGGCTAAGGCACAAGAACTGCTTGAACCTGGGAGGCAGAGGTTTCAGTGAACCAAGATCGCGCCACTACACTCCAGCCTGGGTGGCAGCGCAAGACTCTGTCTCTAAAAAAAAAAAAAAAAAGCAGGCCGGGCGCGGTGGCTCAAGCCTGTAATCCCAGCACTTTGGGAGGCCAAGACGGGCAGATCACGAGGTCAGGAGATCGAGACCATCCTGGCTAACATGGTAAAACCCCGTCTCTACTAAAAACTACAAAAAACTAGCCGGGCGAAGTGGCGGGCGCCTGTAGTCCCAGCTACTCGGGAGGCTGAGGCAGGAGAATGGTGTGAACCCGGGAGGCGGAGCTTGCAGTGAGCTGAGATCGTGCCACTGCACTCCAGCCTGGGTGACAGAGCGAGACTCTGTCTCCAAAAAACAAAAAAGCAGAACTATAACAACAATGCAGTTCATTTATAAATCTGAATCTCATATGGGCGCATACCCGGTGTAAGTGGGTGCAGATCTGGAGAGGGAAAGAGCATTAACAGGGCAGGGGTGCCCTCGAAACGCTGACAGAGGTTTTCTCTGGGCCACAGACACTGAATTTTCAGAAAGAGCGTGTGTTGTTTTACACTAAGAAAAACAAAGACGATCCTAAAAATATAAGGCATTTCATTCATTTTCTACTCTTTTTCCTTACTGCATAGTCTATTGGGATAATACCAAAGAGTATCCATCTGCCCTTCAAACGCGCCCTTCCCTGCAGAGAGAAACGAAGACGCACAGCAACATTACCATGCTAGAGTGGACGGTGGCTTGCTCGATGTATCTTGCGATGCCAGTAACAAATGCATTTCTGTCTTCAAAGTTAGTGTTGAAATTTGGCTGAAAGAAAGGAAGAGAAAAACCGTCACGTGGGGTCGGAGCACAGGCTGTACGCCCCGCAGCTGCTGGGCACCCACCTGGTAGAGCAGCGAGGATGGCGGCGGCTCGATGCAGGGCTGCTGGTCGGGCAGAGGCAGCTCCTCCAGGAGGTCCACGTTGGACAGCGCGTCCTCCAGAGTCACCTGGGCTGCCATCCTGGGCTGGAACAACACACAAGGACCCCTGTTCTGTGAGGAGGAGGAGGAGGGGGCAGCCGACAAGCTTCGAGGTGGGGTACCCAGGCCTCTAACCCCTTCCCGCTCTCCTGAGGGCACTGGGGATCCTGCCGCGGGCATGATCAGTCCTTGGGAGTCACGTGTCTCTCAGGGCACGGGGGCCAGTGGGCTGGGAGGCCCTGTGCAGCTTCTCCTTTCGCACTCACTGAGAACAGGCTCTCCTGGCCTCCAGGAGGGTCACAGTGTGGGGGACGTGGTTCCCGCCACCCTCCCCACCGCGGGGGCTGCCGTCCTGAGTTGCTGGTGCTGAGGACTCTCTGGAGGGTCTGACAACCCCCTCCCAGTGCTGGAGCGGCAGCGCCTCTCCAACACCACATCCGCCCAGCAGACCCCCCCGAATGCAGCCACCTCCCAGGCGGTGCCTCTAAACACACCAGGGCCTGACATGGAAAAGCCCAGCTCCTGCCACCCGGTGCCTCTAAACACACCAGGGCCTGACATGGAAAAGCCCAGCTCCTGCCACCCGGTGCCTCTAAACACACCAGGGCCTGACATGGAAAAGCCCAGCTCCTGCCACCCGGTGCCTCTAAACACACCAGGGCCTGACATGGAAAAGCCCAGCTCCTGCCACCCGGTACCTCTAAACACACCAGGGCCTGACATGGAAAAGCCCAGCTCCTGCCACCCGGTGCCTCTAAACACACCAGGGCCTGACATGGAAAAGCCCAGCTCCTGCCACCCAACACCAGCTGTCTAGCTGCACAGACAGGCTGAGATTACAAGGAGTAGGGGCTGCCGCCGGGGACGGAAAGTGCCACAGCACAGCTGGAGCACAGGTACGGAAATGAAGGCAGACATCGTCTAAACACACCTTCAGTGCCAGGTTCAGGGAGAGAGGGCAATCTGCCTTCTGCCGATTCTGCTTCAGTCTCAAGGGTACTCAGGAGCAGCTCTGCCCTGGGATAGGACCGGGGCAGCTGAGCGGCATTCTATGAAGGAAAGCTGCAGGTGGCCTGGAGGAGACACTGAACAGAAGGAGCCCCAAATCCCTCCTCCAGCACGGGGACAGGCGTGGAGGCGCACAGCAGGACAGGCAGCTGGTCCCGGTGCACTGGCTGAGGGTGGAGAAGGGAAGCTCCAGGGACCCAGGAAGCCCCAGTGGCCGTGTGGAGAGGAAGCAGCTCGGAAGAGCCAGCCGACAAAACTGCTCACAAGCTTCAAGCCCATCCTCAAGCTGCAGGGGTGTGGATCTGATCCTCTTCACACCCCAAACCCCGAGACCACAGCCAGACGGCCACCTGCGGCACACAAGGGACAGGTCCGAGTGGCAGTGCAGGGCGCTGTGAAGCCAGAATCGACACGGAGCTGCCACCCACTGAAGGCAAGTCAGAACCACAGCCCGAGTCTCCTCAGGGTGTTTGCTTACTAAAATCAAAATGTCAACATCCTCCTAGGCTTTTAACAAGACCCAGATCTCACATCATAACATCCAGCCATCCACTTACAGTCCATATTACTCAGCATACAAAGAACAAGGAACGTCTACGCTCCTACAGGAAAAGACAGTCAACAGATCCCAAAATAACACAGGTGTTGCCATGATCCACCCGACTTTAAAGCAACTACTGTGCCGTGAAAGGCTCTAACGATCGTAACACTCCCAAACTGAATGAAAAAATGGAAATCAGCAACAGACAAAAGCAAGATATAAAGAAGAACCAAATGGAAATTTCAAAACTAAAAGACACACTACTGAAATGTTAAAAAAAAAAAAAATCGGGAAAGATTCGGTGAGCTTGAAGATGGAGCAATGTAAGTTTTCTCATCTGAATACCAGAGAGAAAAAAGACTGAAAAAATTTGGGGGACCTTCGGGACAAGAGAAAAGGTCTAACATCTGTGTCATGAGTGGCAAAGGAAAAGGGGAAAGCAAGCAGTGATGAAAACCAGCTGAAAAACATGACAGAAAACACCCTGAATTTGGAAAGTCTTTTGCCTACAGATTCAAGAAGCTCTATGGATCCCAAACAAGACAAACTCAAGAAATCCACACCCAGACACATCACGGTCAAACGGCTGAAAACTAAAGATAAAGGAAAACGGATCTTGAAAACAGCAGGAGAAACATGACACGGCAGAGCGCAGAGCAACAGTGGGAGGGCCGTGGACTTCTCCTGGGCACCAGGCAGGCCGGAGAGCGGGCACAACGTGCCTAAGCCTACAGCGGGGAGGTGCCAACTCGGGATCCTCCCTCAAGGCGGGAATGCGTCTTCCAGAAGGCAGGTGAAGCCAGGACGTGGGCAGAGGAGGAAAACAGAGAACACGCCAGCCAGGCCAGCGGCTCAGGCTGACAGGAAGGGAGGCGGAACCACCAAGCAGAGGCAGCAGGCAGGGTGAGCAGCCAGGGCGCGGGACACACAACGACCCCATAGCTCTTCCAAAGTGCTTGGCGGTCAAAAGCGAAAATCAACGTCCTGTCTGATGGGACTTCCAGTGTACGTAAGTGTAAATTACACAAATACGTCACATGTAAATTATAAACCATTTCTAGGTATATAATTGTACAAATCATATAAACAAGACAACTGTAACATAAAAGGAAGAGGGTAAACCTGGATGGGGTAAGATTTCTATGTCCCACTGGAAGTAGTGAAAAGCAGACTTTTCAGATCCGAAGCAGAATGATAAGCATTATCATTAATAATATTATTAATGATATTATATTAATATTATAATTAATATCAATTAATAAGCATGGACTTTGAAATCCTTAGAGCGACTACTGACGAGAGCAGTGCAGCCAGGCACTGCAGTCCCAGCTACTGGAAGGCTGAGGGGAGAGGATCGCTTGAGCCCAGGATTTCAAAGGCTGCCTGGGCAACACAGTGAAATCCTGTCTCTTTACAAAGAAAAAAAAATTAAAATACTCTTTAAAAAAAGCTATCCAAAACAAAATAGATAACATATAGATAATTTAGAATAAATTAAAACAGACTACAAAATGTTTTTAAAAACCTAAAAGGAAATAAAGCGATGATAAAGATAGTGATCTAACAGAAGTCAGATAATAAAATGGTAGACCTGAATCAAAACACATTGATAATATTATCATAATAATCTAAAAACACCAATTAGAAGAGGTTGTCAGAATAGATAAATAAAATCCTAACCCAACTATATTGCATCTACAAGAAACTTACTTCAAATATACTGATACAGGTAGGTAAGTTGAAAGCAAAAGGGGAAAAAGGTGAACCAGGCAAGCGCTGGCCAAAAGGAAGCTGGGCGGCTATGTCAGCACCAGCGACAGCCAGCCTCAGAGCAAGGAACTCATCAGAGAGGGAGAAGGAAGGGGTCAGCTCCCCAAGGAGCCAGAACAATCCTAAATGTGAACGCACCGGCCAGAAGGCTTCCTTCCCATTACACCAGGCAAAAGCTGACAGAGCTGGAAGGAGAAATGCCGTAGCCAACCCTGAATCTGTTTCACTTTCTGTGATTTCAATTACCCGAGGTCAACTGCACTCCACAAATATTCAATGGAAAACTCCATTCACAAACAATCCGTAAGTTTTAAACTGTGCGCTGTTCTGAGTAGGGTGATAAACTCTCAGGCCGTCCTGCTCCCCCAGCCTGGGCCATAAACCATCCCCTTGTCCAGCGTGTCCACACTGCATGTGCGACCCGCCAGGGAGAACGCAGTAGCCAGCTGGGTCGCCAGCACGGGACTGGGGCGGTATCGCCAGGCTGCTGGTCAAGGTCAGCGGCAGCCTAAGGCTGCATCACAATGCCTGCTCCGCTCACCTCTCTGCCATCTCACGGCGGGCACCAAAGGGTGAGCACGGTACCACAACGTATTCTGAGAGAAAAAGACCACATTTACACGACTTTTATGACAGTATATTGTTAGACAACTGTTCTATCATTACTGTTGTAATCTCTTACCGTGCCTAATTTACAAATTAAAGTTTATCACTGGTATGCAAGTTCGGAAAAACAGAGACTATGCAGGGTCCAGTACTGTCTCCGGGCTCGGGCATCCATAGTGGGTGTTGGGCCAGTTCCACAGATAATGGAAACAACTGCAGGCCAATCCCCAATGGCGGCTGGAGACGCCACCCATTTTCTTAGGAACTGACTGGAAATCAGGGAGAACAGAGGCACGGGCCGCACTGCCAGCCACCGGGACCTCCCCGACACGGAAGGGAACGCCGCCGACTGCAGCAGTGATCTGCTGCATGTTCCTCACTAGAAATCTACATGTAGCAGAAACTCTCGTCCACTTCCCTCCACATTTACAGCTTCCCGTTCCACACCCCTCAGAGAGGAGAAGTGCAGGGCAGCCCTGGCCGGGTGGGTGCAGGGTCCAGCCCCAGCACTGCCTGCAGAGCCAGTGTGGGGGCCTCCCCTCGGTGTCCACTCAGGCACCTCAGGGCTGACGTGGTTCCGAGGGGCCAGGCTGCCTGAGGACGTGCCTTGGTCCCACAGGGGCTGCTCATGCTCTGCAGCTCCAGCCCAGAGTCCCACAGTCTGCCCTTTCCGCGGCCTGAACCCAGACAGTGCCAGGAGAAGCCTGGGGGCGCGTCCAGTCATGCCCGGGCCCCACGTGGGTCAACGAGAAGACGGGTTGGACCGAGCACCCTGGGAGGCCACAGAGCCCACATGGCAGCAGCCCCTGACCCCACGCAGCAGCCACAGGGCCTCGCCTTCCTCCCTCACCTCTGCCCAGGAGAGGCCAAGATGACTCATGGTGGAGGAAGGTGGGCAGGAGAGCCCCAGACAGGCTCAGGGAGAACTGCTCGTGCGTCAGCAGGGACCACTGATGTCGAACTCACGGAAAAACTCCAGATGCACAGCTCGTTCCAAGTCGGTGCTTGCGGACTTCTTTCTTTGAATAAAAATAACGGTATTTATGTGGTCAATGGAATGTTACCCTTAAAAGAAAGGACCTTCTGACAAGTTACAACATGGCTGAAACTCAGACCTTATGCTAAGTGAAATAAGCCAGTCACAAAAAAACAAACGCCGCATGATTCCACTCACATGAATCCTAAAGCCGTCAAACTCAGAGACAGAAAGAACAGTGGCGACAGGGGCTGCCTGGCGGGGCTGGGGAGTTGGTGTTTAGCGGATAGTTTTAGCTTGGAAAGATGAAAAGCTCTAGATGGATACTGGTGGTGGCTGCAGAATAAGGTGAAATGTATTTAATGCCACCGAGCTGTACACTTAAAATGGTGAAGATGGGGGAGGACACGGTGGCTCCAGCCTGTAATCCCAGCACTTTGGGAGGCTGAGGTGGGTAAATCACGAGGTCAGGAGTTCGAGACCGGCCTGGCCAATATGGTGAAACACCACCTCTACTAAAAATACAAAAAATTAGCTGGGCATAGTGGCAGGCACCTGAAATCCCAGCCACTCGGGAGGCTGAAGCAGGAGGATCGCTTGAACCCAGGAGGCGGAGGTTGCAGTGAGCCGAGACCGCGCCACTGCACTCCAGCCTGGCGACAGAGGTAAGACTCCGTCTCAAAAAAAAAAAAAAAAAAGGTGAAGATGGGGTAAAGCTTATATTATTCATATTTCACTACACTCAAAAATAGCAATGTTTGTTGCTGATTAATCAGAAAACATGGAAAAGGAAAAAGAAACCTTATCATCAATCATCACCATCCCTTTCAAAAACAAGATACTATCACACAAACTGCTCTGTACGCTCTTTTTTCTCCCAGCTTCCATAAAACTTCTCAATCATCAGTGCACTGTGCAGACTGCTGGCCGGGCCCTGCTGTGGCGAACTGCTGTTCTCTCCTATTCTTCACATTTTCATATTTCAGGTTTTTCTTTCTTTCTTTTTTTTTGAGACTGAGTCTCGCTCTGTCACCCAGGCTGGAGTGCAGTGGCTGGATCTCGGCTCACTGCAAGCTCCGCCTCCCGGGTTTACGCCATTCTCCTGCCTCAGCCTCCCAAGTAGCTGGGACTACAGGCACCCGCCACCTCGGCCGACTAGGTTTTTTCTATTTTTTAGTAGAGACGGGGTTTCACCGTGATGTTTCAGGTTTTTCATGATCACAGGCAGCTCTCCCACACCCGCCTTGGTATGTCATGCCAAGCACCTGTCACTGCACGCTCACGGCCTCAGCCCGGCCCGCTTCCACGCGCTCTCCGTCCGTCCATCTTCCACAGATGCGAATCTGCACAGCCTCTGCCTCACCCTGGTATGCGGACTTGGAGTCATTGGCTCTAAATCCAAGTCTCCAAGGTCTCAGCCCTGGCAGCATGGGTGCAAGGTCTGGCCTGGGCACCGCCTGCACAGCCAGCGTGGGGGCCCTGGCGGTGTCCACTCTACACAGGCACATCAGAGTTCATGTCTCATCCCATCTTGCTCTGACTCCTCACAGTCCCACCTCCCAAATCTCTTCCAAGTTCATTTACTTTGCTCCGTCTGTAACTGCCGCCAGCGGACCCTGCACGGCTCATCAGCACCCACTGCTGGAGAACAAAGGCAGTGCCTGACTCCAGCCGCCCGCACCCTGGGATTTTTTCGGCTCTCCTTTTGTCCTCCGATGAATGCCACGTCCCACGGGGATCTTCCCCCAGCACTGCCATCCAGCACAGCCTCCAGTCTCCTTCCGCGTCTACCAAGAAGCCCTCATTCCCAGGCAGGAGCACCAGGTCTGGCCTGGTCACTGCAAAGCCAGTGTCCACTGCCCCTGGAATGGAGCCTCAATTGTATCTGACCAGCCTTTATAAGTGGCTGCCACGGTGCAAATATCCAACAGCATAATTAAAGTCACGTATTTGGAGCGGCATACAAACTGTTCTGCCAGTGCTACCAACCAGCACTTTAGAGTTTAACAACAGGATCGCGTTTCCGTGTCTGCTGGTTCAGCTCGCACGGACAGGTACATGGATGTCCACTGCCTGGGCCTGGTCAGAGCAGGGCAACGGGTGACCAGGCACAGAGGAAAGACCACGTGAGGACACACAGAGAAGGTGGCCATTCACAAGCAGAGGCCAACCCTGCTGGCCCCCTGATCTCAGACTCCCAGTTCCAGAACTGAGAGAAAGAAAGTCCTGCCTGACCTGTGGTGTTTTGTTAATGGGAGCCCCAGAAAATGAACGCAGAGCCAAGAACAGGTAGGACAGAGTCACCCAGGCAGGACGCAGATTCCCTGCGCTGTCTGCCAGGTAAGAACCCACAGGAGCTGGTATTTTGCTGATCACGAAATCAATACGTGCTCCAGGCAGAAAGAGCACACTGCTGGGAGCGAGCCAAGCCAGCCAGACCTGCACGAGCTCCGCCACAAGACGCCACTGTGCCACTTCCAGTTGCCTGTGTCCCCGGCCTCCCCAGGCGGCAAACCAACCCAGAAATAACACACCCACCCTCAGTTTATGTCACTGAACAACAAAAGAGATGTTTTTTCCTTCCTTGACTGATTTTCTATCAGCACCAGTTCTCAACTCTCAAATCCTATAGCTTGTCAAGATATAAAAATGAATTTAAATATGGCAGGGGAATTGCTGTTTTAACAAGCCATCGATTAGTTTATTTTGTAAATTTAAGAGATTTTGGCCAGGCGCGGTGGCTCACACCTGTAATCCCAGCACTTTGGGAGGCCGAGGCGGGCGGATCACGAGGTCAGGAGATCGAGACCATCCTGGCTAACACGGTGAAACCCCGTCTCTACTAAAAGTACAAAAAAAAATAGCCAGGCATGGTGGCAGGCTATTGGGGAGGCTGAGGCAGGAGAATGGTGTGAATCCAGGAGGTGGAGCTTGCAGTGAGCTGAGATCGCACCACTGCACTCCAGCCTGGGTGACAGAGCGAGACTCCATCTCAAAAAAAAAAGAAAGAAAGAGTTTTTTAAAATGAAGATTTCAAAGGAGGGCATACTTATCATACTTTGCTGCTCTTCCAGTGATGTCCTCAGAGTCCCAGGTCAGTCTCTGAGTGTCTCATGGTTCGGATGCTCCTCTGCTCTAGGCAGCTGCAGGGCAGTTTGCAGAGTGAGCAGCATCTACCGGGCGGTGGCAGACTGGCTGGGCGTCTGAGCTCATGCCATGCTGCACACCTCACTCACCTGCTCGATCATGGAACCCCAGGTGGGCTTCAAGGGACCCACGGTGGGCAAGAGGCAAAGGTTCCCAGTGCCACCCACTGGAAGGGCAGTGTCCACAGGGCATGCTGGGGGCCCCATGGGTCCATCTCCTTCCCTCCACATGTTACTGGCTGCCCCTCAGCCTCAGATCCACACAGATGCAGTCTCAAGAAGTGGTCCTCACAGCTACCTTGAGGTGGAGGTCACCCTGACACACCGGCAAATCAGTGGAGGGAGGCTGGGTGGGGTCGCCAGCTGCCCGGGGACCCACAGCCGCACAGCAAGGATGAGAACCGCCTCGACCCAGTGCCGTGTGCCCACGCAGGGGGTCAAAGCCAGAGGAACAGAGGTACAGATGGCCACTTTCCAAGGGCGAGTGCAGGTGTTGCAGACCGGCTCAGGCTTGAGGGGCAGGACAGAGGCAGCATGGAGCTGGAGCCACAGACAGAGCTGCCCCGGGGTGGGCAGGCAGCAGGGGCCGGGGAGGCAGGAGAGCAGGGTCAAGGACCCAACTCCTCTCCTGCCCTGCTGGCCCCAGCGAGCCCTGAGGATGCTGGAGAACACTGGGGACAGCAGGCCAAGGGGCAAAGGCAAAGGAGGCATGCGCCAGTGCTTCCCCCAACTAGAAAACGGGCAGATCTGCCCAGGCTCCTGGTCCTTAGCCCGTCCAGATGTGGCCAGCCCTCGCCACATTCCCCCTGCAAGCTCATGGGCTCAGGGCATCAGCCAGTGCCTCCTCATGCTGCCCTCGGGGAACCAGTTCCCAGAGAGGCCCTGGACCCCACTTCTCCACACAGCGGACATCCCAGAAGATGGGAGGGTGATTTCTGTAAAACCTCACAGACATCACATGCTTCAAGACAAAGAACAGTGAATCACAGAATTGTTTTCTTTAATGTGATCTGGGGCTGGGCACAGTGGCTCACGCCTGTAATCCTAGCACTATAGGAGGCCAAACGGGCGGATCACTTAAGGTCAGGAGTTTGAGACCAGCCTGGGCAACACAAAATCTACTACTAAAAACACAAAAATCAGCTGGGCATGGTGGTGGGTGCCTGTAATCCCAGCTACTTGGGAAACTGAGGCAGGAGAATCACTTGAACCCAGGAGTCGGAGGTTGTAGTGAGCTAAGATCGCACCACTGCACTCCAGCCTGGGTGACAGAGTGAGACTCTGTCTCAAAAATAAATAAATAAATAAAATAAATGTGATCTGGTCCTTTTCCCTGTGTCTGGGCAGCATGAGGGCAGGTGGCTGGGACGAAAGAGATGTCTCTCGTGCTCAGCAGGCAGCTCAGTCAGCAGGTCATAACCCTGAGTCCTGGTATAACTCAACAGTCTTGAAAATGACAGACACTAGGCTGCAAAAAATAAAATAAATAAATGGAAATTAAAGCAGCCAATACTAACTTTAACCTGGAAGCAGAAGTGGTGCCAACAGATTAAAAGGGAAAAGGAAAAAACAAAGTTTGTGTGTACGAGTGTCTCTGTGTGTGAGAGTGTGTGCCTTCAATAAGCCAGCATCCCTGGGAGAACACAGGCCCCATGGAAAACCGGCCTCAGACACCAGACAAAACAAAGAAGTCAAACGAGACAGGGGCTTCGGAGACAGGCCTCTCAGGGGAGGCTCAGGGGCAGGTGGCCGGGAAGGGCGGGGGCTGGTAAAGGGGGAACAGGTGGGCCATACCATCCAGATGGCCCCACGGCCCCACGGCGGCCCCAAGACAGCAGTGTGCACGCGGCCACTCTGGCCAGGCCCAGGCCCCCGAGGTGCCGGCAAGCGCACAGCAGAATGGTGGCTGCACACACAGGGACAACGTGCACTGCCCGCTCCACCCAGCCCCTAGCCACAGAGGGACCTTGTATTTTACCAGATTAGAGGATAAACTTTTGAGACATGTTTACTTCTCTTTCCACCCCAGGTCAAGAGGGAGCTTTTCACAGGGACCGAACAGTCGTCTCTGTAGGTGTAAAAATAGAAACTGCCAAGACAGCTCAACACCAAGGTTGCAAAACGTGGAGAAGCCACAATCCAGAAAATGCAGAAGCGAAGGCATGGGTGCCATGCAGGCGGCAGTGCTGTGGCAGGCGGCACGCTGATGCTAACTCCCGCCACTGCGCCCCGCGCCAACAGAGGTGGAGACATGCTTTGCTAGAAAGAGGGTCTTCCCAGCATTTCCAAACCAGTCATTTAAAAATTTTACAACTTGTGGTCGGGCCTGGTGGCTCACGCCTGTAATCCCAGCATTTTGGGAGGCCGAGGCGGGCGGATCACGAGGTCAGGAGATCGAGACCATCCTGGCTAACACGGTGAAACCCCGTCTGTACTAAAAAATACAAAAAATTAGCCAGGCGCGGTGGCGGGCGCCTGTAGTCCCAGCTACTCGGGAGGCTGAGGCAGGAGAATGGCGTGAACCCGGGAGGCGGAGCTTGCAGTGAGCTGAGATCGCGCCACTGTACCCCAGCCTGGGCGACACAGCGAGACTCCATCTCAAAAAAAAAAAAAAATTTTACAATTTGTAAGCATTCCACTTGTCCAACTAAACAGCATAATCAAACAAAGACAAACTATGAAATGTTTCTGCAAACGTGCACAAGGCATGAGCTGATTTTCTTCCTCTTCTATATGCAGAAGGATGGCACTTTCCAGAAAACTAGAAACTTCCAATATTTTTGTGCAATCTGTTCATGTAAAATAGGCATAAAATAAATCATCGTAAGAAGAAAAGCATACTTCGCTGTCCCTTTCTCTCCCAGGTGTAGAAAGAATGTGGAATGTGCCCTTCTGTATTTCCAAGCAAGGGACGGTGCCAGCATGGCTGCAGCTGGTTTCCCCAGGCTCAACGGCCTGACTGCAGGGCTGCAGCATACAGACAGGCTGTCACGACCAGCAAGGCTAAAAGTGCACAGTTAAAAACCAATATAACATCTTCTAGCCTAGCTTTATTACTGAAGTAATTTGATTTTTTTCTCTTTTTTTAGATGGAGTCTCGTTCTTGTCTCCCAGGCTGGAGTGCAGTGGCGCAATCTCGGCTCACTGCAACCTCTGCCTCCCAGGTTCAAGCAATTTTCCTGCCTCAGCCTCTCGAGTAGCTGGTATTACAGGCACACGCCACCACACCCAGCTAATTTTTGTATTTTGGTAGAGACAGGGTTTCACCATGTTGGTCAGGCTGATCTTGAACTCCTGATCTCAGGTGATCTGCCTGCCTCGGCCTCTACAGGTGCTGGGATTACAAGTGTGAGGTAATCTTTTTTTAATGCACAAAAACTTCAAATTCCATTCTCAAAACCAGCTCAAAAGAACGGCCTCATCAACAGAGAAACAGAAATCAAGTTTGAAAATCACAATGAGGTGCTGATGTCTAAGAGAGAGTGTGCCAAGGAACCCTGAGAGAGAGTGCATGTCCCCACGCCACACGGCCTCCGCCCCCCACCCTCGGGCTGCAGCCCCTTCGGCCAGGGTCAGGCTGCCTCTGGGAGAGGTCTCCCAACACCCAGTGGTCTCGCAACCTCCTAACATGGCCCCCCAGACTTCCCGCTACCTTCCCGTGCAGCCTGACCGCCTCTGATCCCCCAGGCGCCGCCAAACCTGCACTCACCTCTGCTTCTCTTCCTGTCACTCTCCTGCTCACTTTCACTGGCCTCTCTCTGCCTACAGCTGTGGTTTTCAAACCATGCGCCATGAAACCCCAGAGTGCCCCAACATAGCAAAGGAGAGCAGTTGTCTTTATCTGTCCAATTTGTATGAAAAGACTACTCTGATGCTAACATAATTAATAAAAGGCAGAGAAGGGGTCCAGCATTCCACAGAATAAAGTCTCAATCGCTCACAGAACACCCAAGGGCCTCCCTCGTCTCCCACACCCCTGGGCCATGGAGGACCCGCTGTGCCATCCACCATTCCCACTGCCCCAGGTGGAGCCCTCAGGACAATGAGAACACGCACCTCAGCCTGGGGCTGGGCTGCCAGGCACACAGATGAGCTCGGGGAAGCCCCACTGGCCCACCTGGCAGATACCTGGGTTGCGCAGGCATCGGGCTGGTGGAGGGGCTGTTTCTCTCCCACCTGTGTGCACCTGCGCCGCACACAGACAGCACGACCGATGACGGAGTGTTCCTCGACAACGGCCATTCCTTCATCGTTCACCGGAATCCAGGGCACGTGTAAAAGCCACAAGGGAAGAGGACGGCGTTTCCCACTCCACCTACTCTTTCTGTTAGAGCAGACCCACCACGGCAGTCTCCGGGAGGACAGTCACACCACAGACGGGGCACTCCCAAGCTCAGGAGAAGAGTGGGGTCACCACTCACAGATGCCGACACTGAGCCCGGAAGGGCAGGGAGGCTGCCACAGCCCCGCGGCCTGCCTCACGTGCCTCAGTGGCGTGGCCTGTGTGGCCAGGAAGTCCCGCCTGCTCAGGAGGCCATGTGCTCGGCTGGACACCAGGCATGACCTCAGGTGCTTGGCAAAGCAATTCCACTGCTGGCCATTCTGGCTGGGGTTTCTCAGCCTGCTCTGATTCCTGCGGCTTGAAGGGAAGGGAACTGGCTGCTGCCCACCTTGTCCCCCACCTTATCACTGTGCCCGACAGACCGTGTATCTGCTGGGTCCCATGGCGCACGGCTGAGGAACAGGCCCTATGGGCGACTGAGCCCCGTGCTTCCCCTCCCCACCCGCCCTGCAGGTTCTCCTCTCAGGGCCCAGGAGGGTGCAGGTTGATGACCAAAGGCTACATGGTGGCCACCAGATTGTCTTCACCCAGCATCCGCACCTACTGATGTGCCTGTTCTTCTCTCCTTGTCTCTCCCTCCCCCAGTAAGGACCTGGACCCCTGAATCCCCACCTGGCTGGCCTGGGCGTGGCCTGGCCCCGCCAGGGTCTGGCACAGCCCAGTAGCAGCCCAGCACTTCTCCTGCACCAAGTACACCCACGAGGGGCTGCAGGCTCCCTCACTGCGTCTGGCCTGTGGGCCGAGTGTCTCCCAGGATCCCCCACTGCACCCGGCCTGTGGGCCGAGTGTCTCCCAGGATACCCCACTGCACCTGGCCTGTGGGCCAAGTGTCTCCCAGGATCCCCCACTGCACCCGGCCTGTGGGCCGAGTGTCTCCCAGGATCCCCCACTGCACCCGGCCTGTGGGCAGAGTGTCTCCCAGGATCCCCTACTGCCTCCAGCCTGAGGTCAAGCCCATGACCTTAGCTACCACCTACACTACACCTCACTCCCCAATCTCTATCAAGGGTCCCACTGTCAAGACACTTGGGCTGGAAACACCAGCGTCAACCTTGCCAGCTTCCTCCACATGCACCAAGAGACCGCACAGTTCCCACGCAGTGGGGTGGTCTGTGCCCGCGGGTGCCCCATTTCAGCGGGCTCATGCTGTGGGATGTCCCAGGCACCTCGCCGGAAACGTCCCTGCAGAGGCGGGAGCTCTGTAAGCGGGCAGTGCCACAGAACATCCCCAGTGACTGTGAACCAAGCAGGGATCTAAGCAGGAGCTTCTCAGGTAAACCAGAATCCTGATCTTAAAGCCAGCTCCCTCCCAGTCTTCATGAAAACTGTGGGAAAGGTGTCCAGGCCATTTAGTTGTCCATCAAAGGAACAAAAGCAGAGAGCAGCCCTTTCACTGAGGTCATATAAATCTTTTCCATCATTCCAGCGACACCTGCACATTCAGGACACGCGAAGGAACCACCACTGGCCCGTGCATGAACCACGCAGCCTGCTTCGGGGCTGCCTGCCCTCCTCCTGCTTAGGCCTGAGGCAAGCCTGACAGTACCACATCTGGGCAGAAAAGCCTGGAGCGTGTTTTCGCATGACTTTCCTAGCAGCACATCCCAGGAGGTTTCTTAGGCCACACAGTGTCTTTAAAGCTGCAGGTGGCTTTGGGCCAGGTGCCCTCCGATGGGGGCCACGAACAAGGTGGAGCCGGACACCAGCACGGCGCTTCCCAACAGAATCCAGGGGTCACTTCTGCTTTCATAATTTAATCTGAATGTCCTTTTTTGTGTTTCTTTTATTTATTTATTTATTTATTTATTATTTAATTTATTTTTAAGATGGAGTCTCACTGTCACCCAGGTTGGTGTGCAAGTAGCACAGTCTCAGTTCACTGCAACCTCCGCCTCCTGTGTTCAAGCGATTCTCTTGCCTCAGCCTCCCGAGTAGCTGGGATGACAGGCATGCGCCACCATGCCGGGCTAATTTTTGTATTTTTAGTATTTAGTAGTAATTTATTTAGTAGTAATTTTGTATTTTTAGTAGAGACGGGGTTTCACCATGTTGGCCAGGCTGGTCTCGAACTCCTGACCTCAAGTGATCCACCGGCTTTGGCCTCCCAAAGTGCTGGGATTGCAGGCACGAGCCACTGTGCCTGGCCTTAATTTTCATTTCTTTTATTATCACTGAGATGAAGCATATTTCTATGCATTAACCAGTCTGTTTTTCTTCTTATTTGAGACAGGGTCTCACTGTTAACCAGGCTGAAGTGCAGTGGTGATCACCGCTTACTGCAGCCTCAACTTCTCAGGCTCAAGTGATCCTCCCACCTCAGCCCCCCAGGTAGCTGGGACTACAGGTGTGCACCACCACGTCTGGCTAATTTTTTTGAATTTTAGTAGAGACAGGGTCTTGCCATGTTGCCCAGGCTGGTCTTGAACTCCAGAGCTCAAGTGATCCTCCAGCCTTGGCCTCCCAAACATGCTGAAATTACAGGCATGAGCCACTTCCCCCTGCCTATTTTTCTTCATGTGTAACTTGCCAGCTTGGGTTGTTTGCCTCTTTGTTTTTTTTTAAATCCTTGGAATCTTAGCAACTGACAGATGGACTTACTATACTAACAACATTAAAGACATTAAAGCTTTGTGAGAGTTGGTACAAAACTTTTTCCAGGTCAAGCTACTTTCTTTTTCATTTCATTTACTATTTTCTTTGAAACTAAGTTTTAACTTTTTATCACATCAGCCTTTCCCTTTGGAATTTCCTGTTTCACTTCTAAATTTACCAAGGAGGAAGAACTCTGCCAGCCCAGGCCCAGGGAAGGAAGCAGTTTATAATCATAGCCCCAGTTTCTGCAAATTGCTGTCGCCACAATAGAAACCAAACAACTGCTCAGGTGAGAAACAGTGTCAAGGCAGCACGCTATAGCTAATCTCAGAGAGTTAATTTAAAAGTAATCTTGAGATCAATAAAAATTTCAGCAAACTGATTGGTAGTAGGATTTTTAAAACTGGGCCTCAGATACATAACAATTCTTGGACTCTGACCTGCTCTCACCATAATTAGTAATGTTTAATGACGTCGAAGACGTGCAAACCCACTACCCACACCGCAAGGCAGAGTCCTGCTTGTGATCCACAGTGAGCCCCTGTCCGCACCCCCAGGCATCGATCCCCTGCTTTCTTCTGCATAAACTGTATCTCATCTCTATTCTTTTTTTTTTTTTTTGAGATGGAGTTTTGCTCTTGTTGCCCAGGCCGGAGTGCAATGGTGCGATCTCAAGTCACCGCAACCTCCGCCTCCCGGGTTCAAGCGATTCTCGTGCCTCAGCCCCCCAAGTAGCTGGGATTACAGATGTGTGCCACCACGCCGGGCTTTTTTTTTTTTTTCTTAGACGGAGTTTTGCTCTTGTTGCCCAGGCTGGAGTGCAATGGCACAATCTCGGCTCACCACAATCTCCACCTCCCGGGTTCAAGTGATTTCTCCTGCCTCAGCCTCCCGAGTAGCTGGGACTGCAGGCGTGCACCACCATGCCTGGCTAATCTTGTATTTTTAGTGGAGACGGGTTTTTCCATGTTGGTCAGGTTGGTCTCGAACTCCCGACCTCAGGTGATCCACCCACCTCGGCCTCCCAAAGTGCTGGGATTACAGGCCTGAGCTACCGTGCCCGGCCAATTTTGTATTTTATTTTTTTAGTAGAGACAGGGTTTCTCCATGTTGGTCAAGCTGGTCTCGAACTCCCAACCTCAGGTGATCCTCCCAACCTCAGCTGATCCGCCCGCCTCGGCCTCCCAAAGTGCTGAGATTACAGGCGTGAGCCACCGCGCCCGGCCATAGCTCATTTATATTCTTACAAAGCATCTTTTAGTTGAGTTGTTATAAAAGGGATATCATCGGCCGGGCGCGGTGGCTCACGCCTGTAATCCCAGCACTTTGGGAGGCCGAGGCGGGCGGATCACGAGGTCAGGAGATCGAGACCATCCTGGCTAACACGGTGAAACCCCGTCTCTACTAAAAATGCAAAAAATTAGCCGGGCGAGGCGGCGGGCGCCTGTAGTCCCAGCTACTCGGGAGGCTGAGGCAGGAGAATGGCGTGAACCCGGGAGGCGGAGCTTGCAGTGAGCCGAGATCGCGCCACTGCACTCCAGCCTGGGCGACTAAGCGAGACTCCGTCTCAAAAAAAAAATAAAATAAAATAAAATAAAATAAAATAAAATAAAATAAAAGGGATATCATCGATAGTCACCTGGCCTATTCACGCCGTGCCCACTGCTATCACGAGACGCAGGCACACTGCCAGGCGGAGCTCCTGGAGCACCATTTTGACATGTGCGTGCTATTCCACGCAACCCACAAGCCAGGCTGCCTGTCCTGTCTCCTGCTGCTCAGAACCAGCGCCATTGCGGACACGGCTGTCACTACCTGTGAGCAACATTCTTACACATGAGCACCTGGGCAACACGTTCTCCAGCACAAGGCTCAGCAAGCATTTTCTCAGCAGGGCCATCAGTGGTCAAGCGTCCTGTGCTACACAAGGGAACATCCTCATTCTTAGGAAATAGACACCGGTGTGTTTAGAGGTAAAGGGCCGCAAGTGGAGAGAGAAGTGTCTGAATTGTGTTCTTTGTCCTATTTTTATTTTTGCAATGTTTTGTAGTTTGATATTATTTAAAATAAGAAAGAAAGGCCAGGCGCAGTGGCTCACGCCTGTAATCTCAGCACTTTGGGGGGCAGAGGCGGGCGATCACCTGAGGTTGGGCATTCGAGACCAGCCTGACCAATATGGATAAACCCTGTTTCTACTAAAAATACAAAATTAGCCGGGCGTGGTGGCAGATGCCTGTAATCCCAGCTACTCGGGAGGCTGAGGCAGGAGAATTGCTTGAACCCGGGAGGTGGAGGTTGCAGTGAGCCGAGATCGCGCCACCGCACTCCAGCCTGGGCGACAAGAGCAAAACTCTGTCTCAAAAAATAATAATAATAAAATAAAATAAGAATGAAATATCCCTGTGAAAACTTTTTGTGAACATAAGGCAAAGGAGTGTGAAACGTCTGGAACAGACTTGCCCCAACTCTTCAAGCAGAAGCGTGTTTTGGTCACCCCTCACTCCTGTGGCCCCAGGCAGGCTGGACGCTGGCACATATCGCAAGCTAAACCCATCTCATCAGCCAGAGCACGGCTGCAACATGCTTGCGTCTGCCCAGAGGAAGGTTTTGCCCAGAGTCACACACTCCTGGGCAGAAAGCTTTTAACCCCCAGTTGTGAGAGGCGCCTGAGCACCACACCTTCATAAGGACAGCTTGTAGAAAAGACCTTCCAGGCCCAGTCAGCCAGAGAGTAAACATCAGTGTTATAATCAGAATGCTTCAGATCATTGCAAAAGAGCTCGGTTTCGTTTTTTGTGGATGGGCCAAACTAATTTATTATGAGACAGAAACTATGGACTGGCATGTTTTTATATAAATTAAGGTATTATTAACAAATAAAAACTGTATATATTCACTGCATACAATGAGAGGTTTACATACACGCACACCTTGTGGAATGGTTAAGTCGAGCCATTCTGCATATCTATCATCTCACAGACTTTTTTTTTTTGTTTTTCCTTTCTGGAGCAAGAACAGCTACTTTCCCAGCCAGGTCACGAGCTTAAAATATGTGAACCTTACCCCACCCCCATGCAGAGTGAGTCCACACCTCCTCATCTCTCACTCACACACACACACACACACACACACACCCCCGGCAGCCCCGCCCAACCCCACCCCCATGCAGAGTGAGTCCACGCCTCCTCATCTCTCACACACACACACACACACACCCTGGCAGCCCCACCCAACCCCACCCCCATGCAGAGTGAGTCCACGCCTCCTCATCTCTCACACACACACACACACACACACACACCCCCGCCCGGCAGCCCCGCCACCAGACTCTGCAGCCTGGAA